AGGTTGTGTGAGAAAAGGTTCATCTTCACAAAGAAGACCAGAGAGAGAGTGGCAAATGGGAAAACCTGAGCAATACCATGCCCTGGCTACTCTGAGTTATCACAGGAGTCTTCAGCTTGAAGGAGCAAAGCTGAACAGGCAAGGGGACCTCAATAACTTACGTGGAGAGAAAGAGCCCCAGCAGCATCTCCTTCCAGGGTTGCCACAGGAGAAACATCAACAATACAACAAAAGGGTTTTCCTGAGCACCCTTTGGACTGAGGAGGAGGTTTATACGACACAGGATAGTTCAAAACTTACTAAGAAGTTCCTTCCCTTGAGGGAAGGAACCAAAGACAGGAGAAGGTAAGGATCAAGGTATTTTTGGAAAGATTACCTACACATAAATAGAAAGGTAAGGAGTTAGAAGGGGCTTGATGTGTGCAGCCAGGGCTTGTCAGTACATTTGTCTTTCTGCACATGGTCAGTGCAGTCTGTCCTGTCTCCTCATTACACTTTATTTCCAACTACTGTCCTGGGAAGTTACTCTCTATTTTGTGGCTCTGTGTGTGTTCAGAGCTCTGAGTCATCTGTATCTTTCTCATGCTTTCCACTCATTCCCCCCCCCCCCACCTCTGATTGAGCCAAGAGCTGTAAAAAAGACAAGCAACAGAAAAATAAACACGGTGGACCTAAAAAATGCTTTGGCAACAAGGAGCTCAATCAGCTTTTTACTCAGCACCCCAAATACCAGTCAAGTTCTTTCTGTGCTAATCAGTCACTCACCAATCCCCTTATTTACAAAAATGCCTTATGATCAGAAAAAGTTGCTGCACTTTTATGCATTTCACTTTCTTTTTTGTACAATGAAATGTCCTGCATTTTTGCAAAAAACGCCAGAGCATTAAGTAGAGAAATAAAGGTCACCTTAATCAGCATATAAACCATCAGGTTTAAGTGCCATTATGTTTTCCAGAACACAGAGCAGAGAACAAGGGGAGTCAACAAACTGCAGCACACACATCACTGTGTGCAATTATACAAGCAATACGTAACGTGTTCTAATTACTTTGCACTGATACCAGACTTTATTGTATTCCAAATTCTCTATCAAAGAGTTGTCAGCCCACTCCAGGTGCCTTTTAAAAGCCAGAGCTATTCCACTCCATTAAGTGTTACCCCCTCTGGAAGATAATGGTATTTACAGATACCACAATGTTCAAAGAAAACTTTAAGAAGTCTTTCCAGACCTCACATTTGCTGGATGGCTGGAAGTGCCACGGTACTGGCAGCATCTCCCTTAGCCCTGAACCAGAAGAATGTTTCTAGACTGCATATGATCAGTAGCTATTGATGCTGAACCATCCAAATTACACTGCACACCGTGCTGCCCCAGCTGTGGGTGAGCAGTGACTGTCACCAACAGGGACCCTGAAGCTGGGGCAGTGACATTTGTGACTAATTAAAACCAGAAGGCAGCCCCAGTTGCTGTTGATTATCAGACCCACACAGACAGGAGTGCCATGTCCCCAGAGTGTGACCATTCAGCAGCTCTTTGATCAGGCAGAGATTAAGGATATGTGGGAAATTTGCAGTTAACAGCCTTAGGAATCCATCTGCAGCAGCTGTGGAGATGCTGGGAAACTGGAGTGGGAGGGATGCAGCTGATGGGTTAAGTAGAAAGTAATTAGGTGCACAAGGGTGGGTGCTGCCACATTGGACTTGCTGCACTAAGGGAAGGGGCTGCCACTGACTTGGCAGCTGATGAGGATAATCAAGTTGATGGGATATATGGATCAGGTGGGTAGGCACCCCTGTACCTCAACAACATCACATCTCGGCAGACACTGTCACTCAATGCAACCAAAAATCATTCTGAAGACCTTGGGAAAAGGGAATCTCAAGGAATGGGAATCTCATCTCCAAAAAACCGTGCAGTTGGTTAACACAAAATATCTGGAGTTGTTTAGGGAACTCTGAAGGGGAAAGAACACAGAACCCTGGGTCAGGTGTGCTGCTGGGAGAGCTCCAGCCTGTACCTGACCTGATGCTGGAAGAATTCATCAGAGGAATTTTGATGGAGTCCATGTATCATGTGGTGAAAATAAGGGAATATAAGACTTGGGAAGTCTTTATATGCTGTAAACAACTATTAAACGTGGGTTAAAGCAAAGACAAAGCCAGACTCACCTCAGAGGGCACAGTTAAAGGGGTAAGACAAAACAGACAGAAGCTATAGCAAATTTTAGTGCAATAAGGAAAACAGTTTACCCACCCAAGAGTGGTCAAGTTTTGGAAGAGGCTGGCCAGGCTGTGGAATCTACATTCTGGGTCAACACCCCGGGCCAGAGTGTACCCCCATCAGATCCCCAAGCCCAAAGTGTCACTCACCACAATCCCTGCCTTGATCATATTATTGGCTCAAGTAGGTGTAACCTGAAAGATTCAGCTGATGAATCTCCCACCCCAGACACAGCCAGTGTGGGAGATTAAGCTTAGTTTGTACCAGTGACAGTGTGTCCAGCAGGACCAGGGAAGTGATGATTCTTCCCTGGTACTTGGCACTGGGGAAGCCTCGAATGCTGTGTCCAGTTCTGGGCCCCTCAATTCAGGAAGGACATGGAGGGGCTGGAGCAGGTCCAGAGAAGGACAACAGAGCTGGGGAGGGGTCTGGAGCACATGTCCTTTGAGGAGCTGCTGAGGGAGCTGGGGGTGTTTAGTCTGGAGAAAAGGAGGGTCGGAGGGGACCTTGTCACTCTACAACTCCCCGACAGGAGGGTGTAGCCAGGTGGGGGTCGGGCTCTTCTCCCAGGTAGCATCAGGACAGGGGGACATATAGACTTCAGCTGCGCCAGAGGAGGTTCAGGTTGGACATTAGGAAGAATTTCTGCACAGAAAGTGTGATTAGACATAGGAATGGTCTGCCCAGGGAGGTGGTGGAGTCACTGTCCCTGGAGGTGTTTAAGGAAAGACTGGATGTGGCATCAGTTGACACGGTGGTGTTGGGTCACAGTTGGACTTGATGATCTCAGTGGTCTATTCCAACCGAAACAGTTCTGTGATTCTCTGACTTAGAAGCTGCTAAGATAATTAGTGAATTAGTTTGTTTTATATAAAAGGAATATATATGGTAAAAGTTGAATTAGCACAGGAGTATTCGACAGCAAATAACTACATACGCTTCTTAAAGACAGAAACAATCCTAAATCAGTTCCCTCGCTGAGATTTGAACATCCTTTCTCTCTCCTTCTAACTTTTTTTTTTTTTGGGGGGGGGGGGTAAATTTAAAGCAACCACAGAGGCTCTCGCCCAGCTGCTACACCGCGAGCTCTCGGAATTCTAAGTCTACTCGGCTTCCTTCCTTCCTTCCCAGGGGGAGGAGTTCTCCCAGCTTCCTATGACATGGTCCCCACAGCAACATCCCTGCGGGAGCCGGC